TATATCTCATTTCTTTTATTAGAACATAGCTTATGTAATTTATTTCTAATTTTCGCTTTGTTTTTCGCTCTGTTGAATTTTTATTTGTTTTCTTTGTCTTCATAATAATTTGCTTTCATATTTTTCCTGTTTGCTTTTGGGGCTTGTGTTTTCTAGTCCTTGTTCTAAAACACACTCAAACATTCTTAAATTTCTACAAAATATTTGCAATACTGCAGTCGATATCTATATTTTGTTTATATATTATTCGCTATTCACTTAACGTATTTTATGTGTTAATACATACATATACATATATAGATTTTACTTCTCTTATCGCAAAGTGTGTGAGTGTGTGTCTGTGTGTTGGTGTAATTTGTGAAGTTGTGTGCACAGTTAATCTGCGTCTTAGTATGATGCTATTCAATACCTACATATGCATGTTTTTATTTTTATATTTTGTATTTTTATGTATTTTCATTTTTGTATTTGATTTTGTTTAATTTAGCAGCTTTTGGTTATTTGCTCATCGTTTGATTTCTTCTACATTTGCTGTGTATTTTGTTCACAATCTTACTATGATTTTAAATGCATAAAATGCATGCTTATGCCCTCTGGAATATTGCACGAAAATATTATGGATTGCTTCGTTCGATCTTATATAGAGAGTCCGCCTCGCTCCGCTTACATGGCTAATTGATTTAGTTTGCTAGTTTAACGCTTAACTCTTGGTTTGCTCTATTCATTGATATATATGTTTGTATATATATATATATATACTATATAGAATACATCTCATATAGATAGGCAAAAGCTAACATTCGCCTAAACGAGATGAATTCCCTATATTCTATTCGCGGGCTATCTCTCGGCTCTTGTCTTTGCTATCGAATGGAAAACCATAAACATAAGTTGCTCAGATTTGATGCCTTGGCTATTTTTGCAACCCGTCATCTCTCGTCATCTTTGTGTTGGTTTGAGTACGGCTCTATGTAAATATCGTTTATGTAACTATTTTTATATTATTTGATTTTTGTTTTGCTTTGTTTTTTTACTGGTATTGTATTGTTGCTTAAATAATACTTGTCTTTGATTGATTTTCGGTTTTTGCTTTGTTCTTGTTGTTGTTGTTACTGTAATTTGATTTGATTTCGTTCGTTTAATTTATTTATATTTTTGTTTTAACTTAATTTATGCTACGTTACTTAACTACAGCGTGACCCCGGGCCCTACATTCATTCCATGTTTTGTGTATGCATGTATGTGTGTCGCTGTGTGTGTGTGTCTGTGTATATATCGTAAAATTTTGCTAATGTTCCAGTTACAGCTTTCGAATGATTACACACCAAATTGACTAAATTGTAATTGAAGTTTCTAATTTGAAACAACAATTGGTTTCATGCATTTTATATCTGTTTTAGTTGTGTTTCCGTTTCACAGTGTAAAAAACAAGAATTGCCTCAATATTAATTGCAATTTCAATAATAAATGTCTATAAAATCCGTTAGAGCTAAATCCAAACTAAATAATTCAGCTAGAGTCGTCCTCAACTGAAAACTGACCGAACAAAGAAAACAAAGGACCTCATCAACTGAGCGGAGTAGATACTTTCGACTGGAGTAGTGTTAGCTTGTCCAACTTGGCTTACTCAATGCTTATGTAATGCTCCTCTTCTTAGACGCCTATCAATATTTGTTTTTGTTATTTGTGGCTGTTTTACTGTTACTGTTACTGTTACTGTTACTGTTACTGTATATATATAAATATTTTGTTTGTATATGTATATGTTTGTAGACGTATATAAATGTCTTAGCACATTCAATAGTTGCACAACATTAATACTTTTTTTTTGTATTTTTTTATATATATATATAA